CAACCGCCCCACCGACTGCGTTCATTATGAAGCAGGAATGATCTCCATTCTGCGGCCGACCGATCGTTCACAGAAAGAATTGACCGACCGCTCCGGCTCTTTATAATAAATGATCGTAGTCGATACAAATTGTTACAAGCTTTGTCTGGGAATTATATTACTATTCGTAGTCGTACAATTTATTTGACGCGTTTTATGACATCACGCGACTGTAAAAACATTGTTCGTAACAACTATGAATTGCGTCAATAAATATTGATACCGTTGCTTATTTCACAGATAGGCCCGGATCTTTATCGAGAAATTACATTCGACTAAGGACAGATAGCTGATAAGGCATTCATCCGACGATAACGGGGACATTGCGACGAAGCACCGGAGCGTGAAAAAGTGAGAAACGTTCAACCAGAACACGAGAGGGGATGTGCAGACACGAGAGTCGAAAAAAATTTGTGATTTCGAGTTTCATTAATTTGGAAAACCCTTCATCCGCGTTCAGCTTTTCGATATCGTATTTCGACAAACGCAGCGCGCCTGTTGACATATTCAATATGTGAAACAGCAGATTCAGCAACTTCGCCAAGGCATTAGGCAAAAATATGAAGCTCGCGTAAAAATTGGCCGAACCGCGCTGCGCGTTTCGTTCGGATGCAACGTCGAAACGTAAACGTTCCGAAATGTTTCGGGAAAGCTGCGTTGCAATACGAGAATAAACGATTTGAAAAATTTGTTCGAAGACTGTCCTTTACCGCGAGCAATCATATCGTTTCGCATATCCTGATTCGACGCATTTTAATCTCCGTAAACTCGATTTTCAATTTCTACGATTATTGCTACTGTGTATCGATTAGCTTTTGCCAACGTTGCAGGCACAATATTAATCGCCGACACGTTCGTACAAAGCCTTTCCCGGGAATCTATGTGCGGCATACATTGTAATATTTTGGTATATTTTCTTTAATGTCGTAATTAACAAATACGATTATTGTATTATGTCGTGCGCGTTATTTTACATCGGTATAATTGATGCCATTTATATCCACGACAATGACACGGTAATCGCAAACAGTTCACAATAGAATACCACTGGCTGTGTCAATTCATTCATTTCTAAATACACGGATGCCTCGATTTGCAGTGCAAAATGTATTCGTCGTTACCGAGAACAACAAGTATTGTTATTTGCTCGTAAAATTTCAAGATAAAAAAATTCAAGATATTCTAATACACATTATAGTCACTAACACAATACTCTAATTCAACAATTTGTACGAAGCATGGAAAACAGTTTTTATTAAAATTCGTATTCATTATTAGGGTCTACCTAGCATAACTAGGATCTTATCTCGTAGCTTGATTTTCCTAAGCATCGGCGCGGTAGTCAACGCGTCAACTGATAAGATATTCGCCCGAACCGCAACCTTCGACAAAACTAAGCTCTCCTTCTCAGAATACCGAGGCAAGCGTGAAGTTAAATTACCTCGAAAGATCGTACAGTGATCTGAAGAGCGTGTCAATTCGTGGCCAAAATTACAGAGACGTACAGGTCGGCGTTTTTCACCACAATGTAATTAATTGATGCTATTAATATATGTTGCTAGCGGTTGCATTTAAAACTTATACGCTTCTCTTATCGATTGTTTAATTTTAACTTTGATAAAAGAAAAGGTTTGATATACTTGTGACTCTTTATAGCTTCCTTAAAACTCTTCCCGCGGTTTGAATTGTTATAAATTTTACGCTATTTGTATATGGCATAAAAAATTAGATTAAATGCTTCAAGTATATCAGCTGACACAAAACCGTCAATAACATTCGAACGGCGAACTCGGGGTCCATTCAGACCCAGATTGGAAAAATTGATATCTGAATGACGAGTTTTTAATAACTAATTTTAATTTTCACATGCTTCGCCTATAAAAAAAACTAACGTATCTAGAGGGAATTCTATAAAAAATATATTTAAAAAATTGATAAATAAAAAGATAAATGATCATAAGTATACCTAGTTACATTTTATTAGAATTATTATTATTTATTCGATTATTATTAATTATTACATTTATTCGATAGTTAAAACTTGTTTTCTAAAATTCTACAATTTTATGATTTTATAATTGCTGTGTAAAACGTTCAATTTTATTTTGAATTCTAGATTTCGTCTTTAGAACGTCGTATCTTGTCCCACAATCACCGAAAACAAATAATTTGGGAGCTTCAACGGATTGTCGCTACAGTGGGGAACAAAATTATTTGTGCATTATTCAAGACGCAATAACTTTTTTCGAATTGGTACAAACGACTTGAATTTTTTTGAAATGTTAGCCCGACTAATTTGCTAGAGAACGAGTAAACGAAAATTTTTTTTATATTCCAATTGGTTAGGATGACAAACAAGTTTTAAAATGATGTTATTTCAACATTTTTTACGTAAGCCTGTAAGGAAAATTTAAAAATTGCGATTTGTATTACTCGATAACTTATATGAATACTGGAAATTTTATCGAAATCGATTGACGTTGTCATGAGTTACAAACAATTAAAAATAGCGAAAATCGCACATTTCAACGTCTATAGCTTGATAAAATGAATTGATAAAATTTGCAAACGACATCTAAAAAATGCATTATTTAAATTTTCGTCAAAAGTTAAGATAAAGAAAGTTGAAAAAAGGGGGAATCTTTTATTTTTTCGTCATATCAAGTAATAGCAAAATTAAAAAGAAGTATTTTAATCATTGCACAGTAAACTATTGTAGTTTGACATCTCCAAAAAATTCAAGTGATTTAGTCCAGTCTTAAAAAGAAGTTATTGCATTTTAAAAAAGGTGTACGAACACTTGGGTCCCCACTGATTACAGGATATTTCATAATATGTGGGACTCACTTCAAAAGCTGATTATACGCCTGAGAACAATGCAAAAAAGTCATATAAATACACGTATTAT